CTGCACCCTATCCCCTCCCCCCCCACACACACCTACCCTACCTAATGCATATAATATAATGACTGTGGCTAAGTTTCCTAAGTACAGTAGTTCAGGTGCAAGCCAACCATCAATGAAAATCCAAAGGAAAATAATGTGAATCAACAAATGTTCAGTGGATTATCTCATGCTTAAGTAGTAAGAATCAGTTTAAGTTATTATTATTTAATAATCATTTTTCATAGCAATAATTCAATGCATGAACATTAATAGCAATAATTCAATGCATTTGGCTCCTAAATAGTACAAAGGATAATCAAAGTTCAATCAATGTTTGCAATGAGCAAGTTGAGAAAACTAACAAACAAAGAAATGAAAGCTTGAATACTACAAAGAATTAAGGATGGGGTTCATATGCTAAAGATTTGATTAATAAACAAACATAATAGGATTCAAACTGTGATTAAAACATTCAAACTTAACCAGACAGATCAACTTATACTACAACAGATCACGTATGGATAAACCCCATGGCCCAAATACACAGCAAGTTACGAGACAGTAAGCTGAGGAAAAAAAGAAGAAACTAACAAGAGATAGAGAGATTTTAGGGAGAAAAAGGGACTTGGGCAGATTCACTACTAAGAATTTATATCTGAGTGAAGTGAGAACATAAATCGTCGTTAGAAACCAATAGGCATTTCAACACTTGAAACAAATGAAAACAGTGCAAGCAATGAGAGAAACAACAAAGGCGTAATATATTTGAAAGCTAAAATTGATAAAACTAATCATGTTCAAGCCGAAGCAAGCAAAAACAAAACTTTAGCCAAAAACAAAGAATTCTAATATTTATGCAACTATCATAACGAAAGGTAACCAAGTGTTCCTCCTTGGAGAAACTCGAATTGGCTACCAACAACCCAAAGGCTCTTGCGAAATCCAAAAGTGAGTATTAGAAATGAACAATCAACTAAAAAACAAGCATATTGAAAACAGAGGTAGCAATTGATCAAGAAAACTGGAAAATCGAATAATAAACTAAAAATAAATACTAACAAGAATAGAGAGTGAACAATCAGTTATATTATAAAAGCATCAATGAAAGCTAGAAAAGCAGCAACTCCAAACCAGGAAAACAAAATAGAAGTTAAAACAACAAAATATGGATTCCAGATTTATGCTAAAATGATACATAAACCAAACCAGATTGCTACCTATACAAACAACTAAACAGCAACTCCAAACAACGTATTCAGACTGTAATAACAAGGAATTGACATTTTTTAAATAAGAAATGTAACCCATTTAGACAATCATACTAAAAATAAACAAAACTCAAGCTAAAAAAATAATAGATCTTACTCAACTATTATGATAATCGACCCTAAAACTCCTACGCCTGCCTGAAGACAGAATCAACATTAACAAACAAATAAAGAACTTGGTACTTGAAAACATGACAGACATACCCATTTGAAAACTGTCGACTGAATTAACAATTTTGCAATGCACTAAAGAATAAAAGAAAGCAAATTGTGAAGAAAAAGTTCGAACTCTTAATAGAACATCTTGCATACTATTTTCATGGCTTACTAACCAAATCACTTGAAATATATTAAACCCGAGAAAAGTTAAATGGTCATGTTGATACAGAGCAGCTGAAAGTTTAGAATATCATACTGCTCTCAACGTTGAATATCACATCAAACAAAGAAATATATCTCTGCTGAAATAACATTCATTTCCTGGAATTTAACTAGACAAGTTTTAAGTTATCAAACCACTCTTAGAAGCACACCCTGTTGATAATATAATGACCCATTTCATCATACTCAGCCTTCACTATACACATCTGCAAACCAAGTAGAAGTTGGGAATGAGACGTAGTTAATTAAATGACAGATCGATTAGTAAAAGAAAGCAAAAAGAAACAAACATTTTGGAAAGTACTGAGGGAGGCTAGAACTAATCCTTCTATCCAGGTGCTATACTTCCTCTCAGGTGGTGCAATCACCTTGATTTTCGTGTGGCTCGGAGCAAGTTTCCTTGCTCATACGTTCTGCTATGCCAGGGAACATAGTTGAGTCACCACTAAGCACAATGTTTGCAAATAAATCTTTCCTAATATTAATATCGCATCTCATGATTGAGTTGTAGGCTTTGTCATGAATTCCTGTCGCTTCCATTCCAACCAATGATAGTTGAAAGAGGACTTCAGGGCAGCGGAATGTCTCAGCACCAATATTAACGACTTCTCCACCAGAAAGCTTATAGCCCTTCTCAATTGATTTTGAGATTTTTTTTGCCTTTTCAATCTCCTATTCATAATCCAGTGAAACATAAGCAATCGTCTCCTTCATATCACGAAATATATCTATATCTCTTTCCCAACCGTTAAATACATAAAGACCATCCTTGACAAACTTGACTGACGAGATACCATGTAAGATCATGACCACCAAGATCTAACTGTGAGATAGCATGGGGAAGTACATGTCATTCATAGACTGGGACATTGTGGGTCACAGAATAACCAGAATCAAGCACAATACCTTGTTGAAAAAACAACAAACGAAATTAGTGTGACTGACTAAAACAGTAAAGAACTAGCCTATATTGGCATTAAAATCTGCTATTTACCAGTTTTACGACCATTAGCTAACAAATAAAGAACGGCCTGGCTTGCAACATACATAGCTGGAACATTGAATGTCTCAAACATGATTTGAGTCGTTTTCTCTTGGTTTGCCTTGGAGTTAAATGGTACCTCAGTCAGAAGAATGGGATGCTCCTCAGGAGCGACACCAAGTTCATTGTAAAATGTGTGATGCCAGAGATTCTCCATATCATTCCAGTTTCTTACAATGCCATGTTCAAT